TACCGGGGCCTGGGCCTGTCCGTGGGCAGCATGATCTGTGGCTGGGACAAGAAGGTGGGTGCTCCCCTTTCCCTGTGCTCCCGGTCCAGGAATGGGAGATCTCGTCCCCAGTGGGCCCGCCCACATCCACCCCTGCCTGGGAGCCGGCAGGTAGAGCACGTGTTTCTCTGACCTTTCCTGCGCATGTGCGTATGTTTTTCTTGGTCCAGTTAGGGGCCACCGTAAGTCCTCCATTAGCTGATCCTGTAGCTAAAATAGCCGAGTCCAATTGCTTTCTCCTCCTATTTCTAAAGTTCTATGGTTTTACCAAAAACGCTGTCCTAATCCAAATGTTCCCATGGTAGTCTTCAATCTTGGGTCCACTTTTTGAGGCCCACACTTGAAACTCTTACGGGACCAGTAAATCCCTCTCCAAATTCAACCTGGAACTGCTTGCGTCTTTCAGGGCCCAGGGCTCTACTACGTGAATGAAGATGGGACTCGGCTCTCAGGACATGTTCTCCACCAGCAGCGGGAACGCTTATGCCTACGGGGTCCTGGACAGTGGCTCCCGGGCCGACCTCAGTCCTGAAGAAGCCTATGACCTTGGCCGCAGGGCTGTTGTTTATGCCGCTCACAGAGACAGCTATTCTGGAGGCGATGTCAACAGTAAGTCACCCGTGAGCCATCCTGCCTGGGAGAAGGGGAGGGAGACTCAGGTCGGGAGACTCCGGAGGCTGAGTGGCCGGGAGGGAGTCTGAGGACTGGTGCAGAACTCCCAGGAGTAAGGGCTGGGCAAGGTCTGTGCCTGTGGGCACTGTTGCTGCCTTCCACGGTACACGGGTAACCGGAAGTTGGTGCTGTTTTCTCATTCGCCCACAGTGTACCACATGAAGGAGGACGGCTGGGTGAAAGTGGAAAGTACAGATGTCAGCAACCTGCTGTACCAGTACCGGGAGGCCAATCAGTAACAGGGCGGGGCTGTGCAGGCCTCTTCTGGTGGGAGAGCCACCAGTCAGGGACCGGCCGCTGGAAGTCTCAGCACGGAACAGAATGGCGCAGGTGATGGGCCGCGTTCACCCATGTCTGTGCTCTCCTTTCAATGAGCAGCTCACCTGTGGGCCTTCAGGCGCCCCATAGACACAATAAAGGAAAACGGTTAAAAGGAGCCTGCTGTGGCTAAGTGGGCTAAGTGGGGGCTGTGAGTTTTCTCGGGGGAGGGAAGCACAGGAAATGAAGAGCGGCTTTCTCTGAGAAGTAACTCAGATTCCTTTGTAAGAAATGGAAGCTCTACCCCAGTCCCAGGCCTGTAATCCTGGCACCTGGGAGTCTGAGGCAGGGGGATCAGCAGCTCCAGGCCAGCCTGGGCTGCAGAGTGAAACCCTTGTCTTCAGAAACCAAACCAACCAAACAAAGCAAACAACAATTTATCTCAGCAAGCATCTCCTCTCTGTGTTTCTTCCACACTCATTTCTCCAGAACAGGAGGCAGACTGATCCTAGTTGGCTCTGGACACATATTTGCAATTTCACTGCAACAGAGACGCAATGTGGAGACGCTTATGTGGTCGTTGTTAATGGTTTGTGTGCCCCGGTGGAGGACACCGAGAACAACTGTTTCTCACTTTGTAGCGGGTGGAAAAGCTTACTGTAGACATTGTACTGTTCGCCCCAAATGACAGCTTGGACATGTGGGGTATTGAATGTAAAGATGGACATTAGGGTTAGATCCTAATGGAGGAGGAAAGGAAAGTGGAGAATAAGAGGGAAAAGTAAAAGATCTATATTAGAAAAAAAAAGACAGCGAAATTCTCTGAACCATGAAGGCTACAAGAAGGAGTGTGGACCACGTCCCTGTCAGGTGACGTTTGCAAGCTGAAAGCAGCTCAGTGTGGAGCACTGTCTGTCAGGGAGAGGCCCTTTACATCTCTGAAGGATGGAGCTGAGGCATTTTAGTAATCCACTAGTCCTCTGCTTCACCCCCTCCAACTGTCCCAAACGCCATTGACTCCAGTAACATTTCAAAAGGGTGGTGTGAAATCCAAGCAGTGAGCCCTTTGGGGATTTTTTTCCAAGTTTGGGAGGTACTTTTTTCTTTCTTTTTTTTTTTTTTTTGGTTTTTTG